CAGAGACCCCCCCACATCCCCCCGCAGCCCCCACCCCACAGACACCCAAGTACCGGCGAGGGAACCCCACACCCTTCCCGGCCGCCCACCTCTGGGGGGGCTCATCCCCCAACCCCCACATGAACCCCCCCTTCCCCTGAGTCCCCCCACAACCTTCAGTGCCCCCACCCTTGGGGATCCCCAGACCCCCTGATCCTGGGGAGGGGTTCCCCCCCGTTGCTGGCTACCTGGTCCCGGTCCAGCCCGCTGGCTGGCAGCGGGGCGGGGGGGGGTACATGGGCTCAGGGCACTGATCAGAGCCCCGTACAGGTACAGCAGGTAGGACCACGTGCGCTGGAGCATGGCCGGTGCGGGCCGGGTTCGGGGCCGTCTGCCGGCCCTTGTCCCTCTGTCCGGCTCACCTTTGCCCCCCACCCACTCCCAGGCCACGTTAATCGGTAACTCGCCCGAGTCCAGAGTCCCGTGGGTGGGAGCGACCCCACGCCCACTGAGGCAGGGGGGCCAATGGTAAACAGTGCAGCGGGGGAGGGGCTCTGGGGGCCTCCAGGAGATCCTACAATAACAGGATGTGTGTGGGGGGGGGATGGAGCTTGCAGGAGACCCTACACTAATAAACCAGTGTGGGTAGTTGGGTGTTTGCAAGGAACCCCCTCCCCCAATAACACTGAGCCTCAGGGCGGGTGGGTGATGCTGGTGAGGGACCCTACAATAACAAACCCCTCCAAGAACAGGGCTGGCGCCCGTAGGGTGGGGGGGGGCCCTACAATAACACGATCAGTTGGGAGCCACACACGCAAGCGAAGGGTGAGAAAACCCGAGCTCGGGGGCCAGGGCCATTTCGGCCGGAGATTAGGAGACACTTTCTAGCTCTCGGGGGCGTTCAGCGCTAGAGTCGGCGTCGTGGGATCCCCGTCCCGGGACGGTTTAAGAGCAGGTTGGACAAACCCCCTCAGGCCGGGCCTGGCCTGGTCCTGCCTCATCGCGGTGCAGGGGGGGGCTGGTCTTGGCGATGTCTCGGGGGCCCTCCCCGCCCAGAGTGGCTCTGGTTTGGCAGTAACGGGGGGGGGGGTCCTTAGTGGGAATAACAGCAACATGCCTGGGGCCTCTAGTGTTTTGTGGAGACCCTACAATAACACAAAGAGGAGTGGTGGGAGACCCTACAATAACAATCTGGCATTCTCTGCCTAGCCAAACTCATTGCCCATAAGAAAGATGGCGGGTGAGGGGGTTATTTCCCCCCCCTCCCATTGGGGATAAAGTACAACATGGCCGCCAATCAGGAGTGGGAAAATGTGCCCTCAACAAATATGGTGGCAAGTCAGGTGTCATAAGTCTGCGCCCATAACCAAGATGGCCGCCGCTTTGGCTTCGGCTCCTTGGAGCGCCAAGTGTTGCCCTCAAAAGATCTGTCGGGCCGGGGAATGCGCGTCATCATTTCCACGCCAATCTCCAAGATGGCCGCCGCGTTGCCTTCACCGCATACACAGCCGCATGGGCCCGCCCAGAAGAAAGATGGTGGACAAAGGCCTTAGTACGCAGGCGCGGGCTGGCGAGGCCCCTCGAGCCGGGTATAGGAGCCCGAAAGGTGCCTGGACACAATCTTCGCGATCGGAGGCGAACAAGCGGCGTCGCCGCCACAGGGCGAACAGACCCGGCAGCTCGGAGCCAAGGAGCGATCAAGGAACGAGCAGCGGGTGCGGGGGAGGGCGAGTAGGTCGGTTTCACGGTGTATTTAGTCAGGCGCCTGCTCGCACAGCCCCAACGCGAAGGCCCGGTAGTGGGAAGGCGGGGGCGCGCGCGCAGCTCTCGCGCATGCGCAGTCGGGCACAGCGGCGGCGAGAGGCGGCTGAAGGGAGTCGCTCCGAGGAGGCGCCGGGTTCCGCGGCCGCTTCGCCCCGTTCCGGGCCCGCAGCGTCTCCCCGCCCGGGGGGGCCCCGAGGTGTCCCCCCCCCCGCGCCCGCCGGACCCCTGCAGTGGACCGGAAGTTGCCCCCTGGGGCTTGGGCTGCACCGGAAGTGGCTCCGGCTTGACCGGAAGTACCCGCCTGGGAGGCCGGGGGGCGGGGCCAGCTGGACTTGGCGCCCCTCCCCCACCCCGAGCCGAGAGCGGCCCCAGGAGCGGGTGAGCTTCGGGGGGTCCGAGCTGCGTGTCCCCCCCCCGCGGGATAATGTCGGGTGGGGGAGGGGCGTCGCTGGGGGGGATGTAAGGTGGGGCAGGGGAGGGGCGTGGGGCTGTGGGGTGTGGGGGGCAGGGGATGGGATTTGGGGGGGCAGGGGAGGGGTGGGGGGGAAGTGGGGGACCAGGGGTGTAAGGTGGGGGGAGGAGCGTGGCAGGAGGGGTGGGGATGTGGGCTGGGAGAGGGGAGGAGTGGGGGGCAGGGGATGGGTTTGGGGGGAAGTGGGGGGCCGGGGTATAAGGTGGGGGAGGGGATGTGGGCTGGGAGAGGGGAGGGGTGTGGGGGGCAGGGGAGGGGTGTGGGTGGGAAGTGGGGGCCAGGGATCTAAGGTGGGGGGGGAGGAGCGTGGCGGGAGGTGTGGGGATGTGGGGGGGAGAGGGGAAGGGGAGGAGGCGTGGGGGGCAGGGAGGGGTGTGGGTGGGAAGTGCGGGCCAGGGATCTAAGGTGGGGGGGGAGGAGCGTGGCGGGAGGTGTGGGGATGTGGGGGGGAGAGGAGGGGTGTGGGGGGCAGGGGATGGGTTTGGGGGGCAGGGAGGGCCAGGGGTATAAGGCGAGGGGGGGTTCGGGACACCCAGGGGCAGCTGATCTGGAGGGCCGAGGGGACCCGCTTGCGTAACCCGCTGTCCCGTGACAGGAGCCGGCGCCATGGCGGAGCCGGAGAACCTCGAGGTGATGGTGAAGACGCTCGACTCGCAGACCAGGACCTTCACCGTGGAGGCAGAGGTGAGAGGTTGGGAGGCTGCTGGGTGTGGCTCGTTCCAGGGCCGTTTCCCTTGGGGGTCCGTGCCCGCCCCATCCGGCGCCAAGGGATGCTCTGCACCGGTCCCATTCGGCTCTTTGGCAGATCCTGCATCCCACCCCAGAGCCAGCCGCATCTCAGCCTGGGGTGGTGGGTCCCCGACCAGCCAGCTCCTGCCCCCCACCCCAGAGAAGTTGTCATGGGATAAGAGGGAAGGTCCTTTCATGGATTGAGAACTGGTTAAAAGACAGGGAACAAAGCGTAGGAATAAGTGTTAAATTCTCAGAATGGAGAGGGGTAACTAGTGGTGTTCCCCAAGAGTGAGTCCTCGGACCGATCCTATTCAACTTATTCATAAATGATCTGGAGAAAGGGGTAAACAGTGAGGTGGCAAAGTTTGCAGATGATACTAAACTGCTCAAGATGGTTAAGACCAAAGCAGACTGTGAAGAACTTCAAAAAGATCTCACAAAACTAAGTCATTGGGCAACAAAATGGCAAATGAAATTTAATGTGGATAAATGTAAAGTAATGCACATTGGAAAAAATAACCCCAACTATACATACAATATGATGGGGGCTAATTTAACTGCAATGAATCAGGAAAAAGATATTGGAGTCATCGTGGATAGTTCTCTGAAGACATCCACGCAGTGTACAGCGGCAGTCAAAACATCAAACAGGATGTTAGGAATCATTGAAAAGGGGGTAGAGAATAAGACGGAGAATATATTATTGCCCTTATATAAATCCATGGTACACCCACATCTTGAATACTGCGTAAAGATGTGGTCTCATCTTATATACTGGGATATACTGGCACTAGAAAAGGTTCAGAGAAGGGCAACTAAAATGATGAGGGGTTTGGAACGGGTCCCATATGAGGAGAGATTAAAGAGGCTAGGACTGTTCAGCTTGGAAAAGAGGAGACTAAGGGGGGATATGATAGAGGTCTATAAAATCATGAGTGATGTGGAGAAAGTGGATAAGGAAAAGTTATTTACTTGTTCCCATAATACAAGAACTGGGGGTCACCAAATGAACTGAATGGGCAGCAGGTTTAAAACAAATAAAAGGAAGTTCTTCTTCACGCAGCGCACAGTCAACCTGTGGAACTCCTTGCTGGAGGAGGTTGTGAAGGCTAGGACTGTAACAGCGTTTAAAAGAGAACTGGATAAATTCATGGAGGTTAAGTCCATTAATGGCTATTAGCCAGGATGGCTAAGGAATGGTGTCCCTAGCCTCTGTCTGTCAGAGGATGGAGATGGATGGCAGGAGAGAGATCACTTAATCATTACCTGTTAGGTTCACTCCCTCTGGGGCACCTGGCATTGGCCACTGTCGGCAGACAGGATATTGGGCTGGATGGACCTTTGGTCTGACCCGGTACAGCCGTTCTTAGGTGTCTGCATGCACAGGGTGGCGACCCGAGCGTGTGAGCTGAGAAGAGGTGATGAGGAGTGGGTTTGACCCCACTGGTTCTTGCCCCTTTCCCCTGTAGGTGACGGTGAAGGAGTTCAAAGAGCACATTGCGGGCTCAGTAAATATCCCCGCGGAGAAACAGCGTCTGATCTACCAGGGACGCGTCCTGCAGGACGACAAGAAGCTTAAAGAATATAGTGAGTGTGGGGGGCTGCGGTTCGGGAGTGAGGGGCACCGGCAGAGGTGGGGGGGGTGGGAGACCAAGGCCGGGCCGGCCGGGGGCTGCGGGTCGGGAGTGAGGGGCACCGGCAGAGGTGGGGGGGGTGGGAGACCAAGGCCGGGCCGGCCGGGGGCTGCGGGTCGGGAGTGAGGGGCACC